AGTAGCCCCGATTGCCCCTACTGTAAATCTAGCACTGATATATATATATATATATATATATATATATATGTTTGTATCTTTAAATATATATATATTATATATTTATATAATTATATATATATATATATATATATATTATATATATATATATATATATATATGTATATATATATATGTATGTATATATATATATATATATGTGTGTGTGTGTGTGTGTGTGTGTGTTCTTCAATATATTTAATAACTGCTAGTCAAATTGAAAAAAATCCTGGTATGATTCATTAGACTAATAATATAAACCTGAAATATTTTCCTTATTCTAGAATGTTTTAATTAGATAATAGTCATTTGTAAAATATATTTAAATATTCTGTATTTTGTTGCAAACTAGTTGTAATATCGTTGCAAAGACTTGAACAGATTGTCTTAAGTTTGATATGATTAGATAGTAAGAATATTATTTAACTTTTTATTTTGTTCACACTTTTAATTGTAAGTTTACTACATGTTAAATTAAATAATAATGACTTTATTTACTAAGCCCAATATTTTATTCTAATTTTTATGCATTGATTTTAAATTTATTGATACGATTCTAAGTAGTTTATAAGATATTTTAATATTTTATTGACCTATTGTCTTATGATTGTTCAAAAGAAATTTGATACTAAATGAAAAACAAATGTTTTATAAATACATTTTATATATTTATTTGCAATATATAAGGTTGTCAAATATCTCCCTTCCGCCTTTTTGTATTATAAACCAAGAGCAAAAAAGCGGAAGGGAGATATTTGACAACTTAATATTATCATCTAACATTTATTACTATTATTATTTTTATTATTACTATTATCTTACTATTTCTATTATTGTTATTTTGTTATATTTTATTATTTTTCTAGTATTATTTTATTATTCTGAAATTTTATTTATATTATTTATTAATCTTATTTTTATTATTATTTGCTTATATTTTACATTAAATCATATTACGGATATTATTTTCATGTAAATTTTATCCTTTGCTCTTTTATTTATTTAAATTTATATTATTATTTATCAATATTACTTGATGTTAATAAATTAGCAGTTGTAATAATTATTGAAATTAAAAAAAAAAACTAACATTTATTAATAAAACATTTATGAATTTCTTTGTTTTTATGAAATTAATTACAATGAATTGTATATTGCATACATGTTAAAATAATAAAAAATTAAGAAAAATTATAAAAAATTCAACGACTCTTTGAATGGATTAATTGATTATTTTTTGGGATAATACGGACAAAATGACACGATGTTGTTTTTCAACTTCCCGTAGGGCAAGTTATAGTAATCGCAAAAAAATCGAAAATGAAAATTTTTATATATCTTTACGTTTCAAAGGTTTCTGAACATTTTGGCATACCTTAGAAAAAATGGATGTATGTGTGTGTGTGTGTGTGTGTATGTATGTATGTATGTATGTATGTATGTATGTATGTATGTATGTATGTATGTATGTACGTGTGTGTATGTATGTGCGGATACAAATTTTCGTCGACGATTTCGGGAACACGGATCAACCGATTTGAATAATTCAAAAAACATTCGATTCGTATTGATAAGGAGACGTGCTGATTAGTTTTTGGCAGAGGCAGGTCTAGCCGTTCCGAAGATACGGGGCAAAAAGTGCCGAAAACGGTAACTCAGTTTTTAAGAGAACGGAGCGTCCGATTTGAATAATTAAAAAAACATTTCACTTGTATTGACAAGATGAAGAATCGATAAAATTTTCATGAAGGTAGGTCTAGCGGTTTCGGAAATATGGAGGAAAAAGTAAAAAAATGAGCCATTTGGCGGTCAAAAATGATCATTGGGCATATGCACATCAAATTATCAGATATTTTATAGAGATTTTAACAATAAGTATACATTTTGTTAACATTCCTATGGGTTCCGTACCAATGCTTATGCGTTAGACAGCGACGCGGCGCTTACGCGCTTTATATTTTGTCCCTATGCAGATAAAGCAGTACGATTGCTTTGAAAAAAAGTTCAGATCTTCCACAATATGTCAAAATAAAGAAAAAAATTTTTTTTTTCAAAAAAAAAAAATTAATTTTTTTTTTTTTTTTTTTAATTTTTTTTTATTAAAAAGTTATTTTTTGTCCAATTTATAGTTTCTCAAAAATCTTATTTTTTCAAAGTAATTTTTTTTCAAAAATGTTAATCGTTTTTAAAAAAATAATAATTTTTGGTACGGGAAGTTCCAGCAATTTGCCTTAAGGCACGATGCCTTAATTGCCTTAAGACAGAATTCCACTTACAGCTAGTTATGATATTTTTTTTATTGAATGACAATATAATTAGCCTCAATCGTTTTTATACATTTTAGATTCATTGATTACCAGTAACATAGTCTTTTAATTAAGTAGTCACTATAATAAAATATTTATTAAAGAATAGTGCAGCTAATTGCAAAAACAATTTTTATGCAATTTTGTTCATTTAGTTCGACGATCAACCGATTTGGCTGATTCAAAACACAACCGATGTCTATTGTTAAGGAGACGCGCTAACTAGTTTGGCAAAGGCAGGTCTATTCGTTTCGGGGCAAAAAGTGCCAAAAATAGTAACTCAGTTTTTGATAGAACGAATCATTCGATTTAAATAATTCACAAAAAAACATTTTATTTACATTGATAAAACGAAGACTTGAATAAATTTTTAGGAAGGCAGGTCTAGCTGTTTCGGAGATACAATATAAAAAGTAGAAAAATGCCATTTGGCAATTGAAAATGAGCATTAGATATATGCACATCAAATTATCCAACGTTTTATATGAGATTTTAATAATAAGAACAAAATTTGTTTATATTTCTATGGGTTCCGTACCAATGTCTATCCACTTGACTGCGACGCGACTCTTGCGCGCTAAGATAATTTGTCTTTAAAACAGCTACACAAGGCGTTTGCTTTGAAAAAAAGTTAAAAAGTTTCAACAACATTTTTTTCAAAAATTTCAAATTTCTTAAAAAAAAATTTAAGTTTTATATTTCGGTACGGGAAGCAATTTGCACGATGTCATGCGCCATTAGTTTACTTCCCGAAGGAGAAGTTTATGTTTTCATAAAAAAATCCGATCGCTAATTTTATGTTTTCTCGACGTTTCAAGCCATTCTGAATCGAATGAGACCAAATTTGGAAAAAATATGTGTGTGTGACGTTTTCTCAAAACCAGCTGAACCGATTTCAAAAATTTATAAGCCATTAGATGTATCGCGATGAGGACTAGCTTTTATCAATTTTGCGCGACGATCAGCCAAGCCGTTTCTTTGTAAATAACAGAAAAGTGAAAAAATTTTCATCCAAGTTTTAGCCCGCAGTTCTGAATCGATTTTGAAAATTCAAAAATTGTTCGAAAGATATTAGTTGGGAATGATACTGATTAGTTTTAGATGAAAATCTACCGAGCCGTTTTCTTGTAATTAACTGTTGAAAAAAAAATTTAAGTCGATTTTTATGGAGCTTTTATTGGCGATATATACCATGGTCTTATAGAACTTACTGAAATATTACGGCCTTACGACAAGTAGTTTAATTTTAAAAATTCATCAAAGTTTGAGAAAATGAGGAATGTTTTTAATCACTCATAAATTAATTTATTTTTTATTGATTAAGTCGATTATTTACACATATCGGGAAGTTCATGTATTTGCCTCAAGGAAAAATACCAATACCTACTAGTTTTTTCTTGTTCTCGAATGAACTACTCTTTAGCTAGTGAGAAATAGTACTATCATAGTACATAGTACTGTACTGTGTATATCACTTTGTCACTCAATAAGTAGGGTAGAGTGGGGCTTGAAGATAAAAATTGATCTCACTTGTGAGGTAAAAAAGACCAAGTGACATTTTTTTTAAAATATAGGTCTACAATAATGAATTACTTAGGAATTTTACTGAATACACCAGTTAGATAATTGTTTGTTTGATATATGTTATTTGTTTTGATGTAGTTGGTTTGGTTTTCACAGTATAATTGCTGAAAGTCAAATTGGACCTTTGTGTCTCGCCCTCCCCTAGATCATTTTGTCCGAAAGTAAACAAAAACCAATAAATAATCAAAATTCCGTCGTACAAAATCAATAGTACTGGCATAAGTTTATTGATTTTAATATAAATAATTAAAAATAACTATGAATAAGTCCCAAAAACAGCATGATAAAACCACCCTCAAAATAAACTTTTGAAGGCGCGATGCACGTTTGAACTGATTACTGCGATAAGTCTATGACAATAACGCTCAACGTCTGGTAGGATTGTGATGATAGCTTTCTCTGTGTTTGCGAAAACGTTGTTATAACTAGCTAATTTTTAAATAAGATCACTGTGTCATTTTGTCTATATCTGATATTAAAAGCAGCTTCAATTATAAGAGTGTAACAAAAAAAAATATGAAGCACCCATAACACTTCCCGTGAGGTAAGTATAGTAAGTACAGCTACGCAGCGCCGGCAGCTTTAAAAAAAATTTCAAAATATAAAATAAACTCAAATTTTTCAAAAAAGTTAAGTTTTTTCAAAAATTTCAAATTCTCAAAAATCAAATTTTTCAAAAGTTTTCAAAAAAAATTAAAGCTTTTTCTAAAAATGTAATTTTTGGTATGAGAAGTTTCAGCAATTTGCCTAAAGACACGATGCCATGCACCCCTAGTTTTGTGTCAATAAATCTTACGCTAAGCGAAAAAAATTCAGAAAATTCGAAATCTCATACATATTCATAATGCTTGAATCCACCTGAATTTCCCGATGCGATGAGTATTGCCCGAATGGATCAGTGATCCTGCTCGGGTATCGTTCGGCGTGGTTCGGCGCTCGGATCGGCGCTCCGATCGGCGCTCGGATCGGCACTCGAATGGTTGCTCGGAGGTCGGAGCTGCGCTCGGCCCGTCGCTCGTCGTCGCTCGTCGTCGCTCGTCTCTCGCTCGTCTCTCGCTCGTCTCTCGCTCGTCTCTCGCTCTCATCAAAGCATTCATGTGTCATAGGCGTTGCGTGTGTGTGTGCGCGTAGAATGTGTGGCGGCTCGAACGTCATTTTGTGGTCATTCTCATGACTAGTACCGCTTGGAATGGATTTGAATAAGTGAACGATAGTATTTATTTCGCGAAAGTTTATAGCTTTTATTAAATGTCTAAATTTATGAAATAATAACAAATAGTTAGTGATTATTGTTAATATAATGATCTTACTGGAGATCAATAATAGGATAATAGAGGAAACGTTGACACTTAAATACAAAAATGCTTTGGCCGGGTGAGTGCAGATTTCATTCAAAAGCTAGCCTATAAAATTTTTTTAAATGGGTTTTGAGATTTTTGAGTTTTTCAATGCTAATGTTATGTGAAAATCTAATTCGATATGTTTTTTCATGTGAAAAGTGATTAATATAGGCGAGTGAGCGTGTGTTTATCACATTTTTATCTTCTAGGAGTGTCATGCCAGATATTGAATATACGTGACAATATTTTCAATTCAAATCTCTCCAATTTGCTATTATTTGATGAAACTTATTAATATTCATTATAATTCGCACATTTCCGAAGTATGTATTGCATACCAGAAACTTTTAACCTTAATAATATAAAACAGTTATAATTTATCACTTCCTCTTAATTATGTTCTGAGCATAAACTTTCATTTCGTAAATAACTCTTTATTAAAATATTATTTTACTTGTTATTTGTCATTCTTTTTATTATAAATATTATATGCCCATAATGTGCAAGTATATAATATGTAGAAAATGTCATTTGCAAAACTTTAATCAAAAGTGTTAAGTTTAAAGTGATCATTATTTTTACATTATAATTCAAAACCATTTTAAATATTATTTGCATGTCTGTCTTTACAATTTAGCATATATTCCTTTTAATTTTACAGAAATAAACAGGAATCGACAGATCTTACAATAGCAGATTTTGATGGTGTATTATTTCATATTGCAAATTTAAATGGAGAAAAATCCAAAATACGGGTAAAAATAATTGATTTGTTGCAATATCATTTTGGTTTATGCATTTTCATAAATTAATTGTGATAGTTCTGCTAATAGTATAATTAAAAATATTATGGAGTTCTATTATGCATGTATTTTTGAAGTCTGTTTATATTCTTATCTGCAATTTTTAAATACAATGCACTTGAAAAGTTTTTAAAATAGATTAAACTGTCAATTGAGATAGTGTTTTTTATAAAAATTGCGTTTTTCTGTCGATAGTACACATACAATCATAAATTCATTTTATTTTATATATGGTGACAGACATAATGTTATCATGAACACAATGTTATAAAGTCTTATACTTTCTATTTTCTATATCTTACTTGCACACAAGAATTTCATATTACTTTTAAATTTTTGATTCAAACTAATTTACCAAATTTCGTAATATTTCTATAATCATATCGGTGGAATTTATCTAGGTTAGTATATCATTAAAATTCTATAAACAACTGCAAGAGCATGGGGCTGATGAGCTTTTGAAGAGAGAATATGGAGATCTTTTAGTGGAACCGGAAGATGGTATGTAATGAATGAAATTAGAAATTGTATTTTCTTATAACTGATTAAACTGATTATGTTATAGAATTAATTTTCTCATTTTCATTATTTTAGGATACAATGTCTCATTGTTAATAGATTTAGATAACGTACCTGGAAACTGGGAAGAGATAGTACGAAAAGCTGGTCTATTAAAACGTCATTGTTTTGCATCCGTTTTTGAAAAATATTTTGATTTTCAAGAGAATGGAAATGATGGAGAAAAGAGAGCAGTTATTGATTATCGCAGTGATGAAACTATGTAAGTTAAGTTTTATTACAATATTATTTAATTGTATATAAACTCGATTCAAACTCTGGTCTTAGATATCATTAGTTATAACAAAATAAACAATGATTTTATGTTTATTGCAATCAAGATTTATATCTTTTAGTTCAATTCAAAATTTACATCAATTTTTTGTTATTTTTAATGAAATTGTTCTTATTATTAGGTACGTTGAAGCAAAAAGTGACAGGGTGACTGTTGTATTTAGCACTGTGTTTAGAGAAGATGACGATGTTGTTCTTGGAAAAGTATTCATGCAGGAATTCCGAGAAGGTAGAAGGGCATCACATACAGCGCCCCAAGTATTATTTTCTCATAGAGATCCTCCACGAGAGTTAGCTAACACAGATGCTAAAGTTGGTGATAATATTGGTTACATTACTTTTGGTAAATCATTTTGTGTATTTATTACTCTTAATTAATATTTTATTATATTTTTGCAATAGTATAAATCTATGTATTGAGTAAATGGTGTGATTATTTTCCATAAAATTGAATGTTTTAGTGCTTTTCCCAAGACATACAAATAAAGCTGCACGGGACAATACAATAAATTTAATTCAAATGTTTCGGCACTATTTGCATTACCACATAAAGGTATAAATTTCACACATAGTCAGTACATCATTTTTTTAAATATATTAATTATACCTTTTTTTAATTAGTGTTCCAAGGCATACATACATTCTCGTATGAGAGCTAAGACGACTGAATTTCTGAAAGTTCTTAATAGAGCTCGACCTGAACCCAAGAATTTGGAGAAGAAAACAATCACGTAAGTAAATGGAAAATATGTTATTTTTCACACATGTACAACACTAGTTTGCAATCGAATATGCAAATATGCAATATATTTTCTGGTTTATACAAAAAAATTACTAGCTGTATTTGTTAATAATATATTTATAATAGTAGTATTTGGTAAATTAATTGTTAAATTTTTCATTGCAGAGGGCGAACTTTTATAAGAAAAGAATGATCGCTGATGTAATATAGTAAAAGAAGTATATACCTAAAATTAATTAAAACAGTCGCAACGGATTAATGATTTAATATTAGGATATTATTGAAAAGTACTACATGGCCAAAAATATGAAGTTTTATCTGCTTTCCCATGTTAAAATATAGCACAAAAACTAAGCGAACAGTGAGCAAGTAATACTAAAGAAGTAGACTAGCTATAAATAGAGTCAGTCACTTTATTTATAATCGCATATACTCTCATGAAAGAAGTTTAATGAAATTCAAAAATGCAAAATCATTTTGTATTTTTTCTATTGAGGGTTATGTCTTTGAATTTTATTGATTGAATTTGCTTATTACTTACCTTTGTCTTATTCAAGTTTTTTTTTCTAAATTATAACTTAACAAACATCAAATTAAGAAGTTCACACCTTGCCTAAATTTGTACTATAGCGATTGGCTTTATTCGATTTATAAATAAATTTTGTCTTTGACAGTGATATCATGCTTTTAAAACATCAAATTTATACAACATGAATTTGCATTGGCGGTTTTCTTAAATATAGTTTTGAACATGACAAATTTTATGGAAATATACCATTTAGTATTTTTGAAATGTGTTAAAGTATTTATATGTAATCCTTTATATAAATGAAAGCAATAATATATTTTTACATATTTCAACAAACAAAAGTTAATGTACTAAATTTGTACTATATGCTGCCACATTGTTTGTTTGAAGTGGGCATGTATGTGATTTTCTACAGAACTCATAAGTTTGTATCAAATTATTCTAATCTCCTAAATATTACCTTTATTAAATTATTTACATCTGGAGTATTATATTTGTAAGTGATTTTGCATGAGTCATAGAAATTAGTATTTGCATTTTATTTAGCTTACAATTATTTTAAGAATCAGATTACAGGGGTCGATTAATTAAAGTGAATGACTCTTGCATTGCATTTACTGATTGAAACTTCTTTATACAGAGAATGGTTGGATGTCCACATTTAGAATAAAAATGTGTGTTTTATCATGTGCGAATTATTTATATGTGAATGTTTTAATACCTCAATTTAAATATACAAAAGTCATAATATAAATTAGTCACTTTACTCCTTATAGAAATCTTACAGGAAAATTATATTTGTTTACAATTATTGCAGTCCTTCTCTCAATTAAATTACATTCTTAATTTTCAAAATTGTATTTGTCATTACTCAAAGCACACCTTATATTGTGCCTTACATATAAAAGTTGGCTTGAGATATATATTATGACGAGTGTATATAAAAATAAATGCTTGTATGTAAGAGTTTTGTACTTCCAAAATTTTTCAAAAGGTAATCCTTTATATTGAATTATTTTAAGATTTGTATTTCATATAAGTTACAGCTCAATTGTATATTTTAAATATACCATATGTTCATATTTCAAATGCACATAGACTTTTTATAACTAAATATATAATATCCTTACGAGACTTTCAAAATTAATATATAGAAATCAAATGTTATAACTCTTTGTAAAAGCGAATAGACAGTCCTGTTTCTGATAAACCTTAGATATAGGGTATAATAATTCTCTATTAATAAAATGGAATCCAAATGTGTTATATGTATAAATGAAACATTATAGTTTGGTAGAGTTTCTAAAGCGCTTCCTGATTACTTATCTAGTTCACTTTGATTGGAAAATTTTAATATCGCATGTACAATAATGTTGTATATATTATAAACATGATATGAGTTTTATTAGCACAGGTGTTTATGTTTATTTTGGATGTTTAAATTTATGTATATTACTGACTCACTAATATAATTCAGTTATTAGTTATTAAGAATTTTTAATACGATGTATTACAGCATTTATTAACACAGGCGATATGATAAAACACTGTTATAAATAAACCAATTTTAAAGTAATTTGTGTTTCTGTTTGAGTATTAGGTCAAAACGTATTTTTCTTTTATTTGTTTTATTTTGATAAATGGAAAGGCAATTTGCATTATGGCAAGGATTTTGTTAAAAGTGATCCAATTGTAATAGATAACAAATAATTTTAAGGCACTATAGTATAAAAATTAAATCATATTTCAATGTATGAGTAGAAATTGTGTTCTTATTATTATTGCACATTTTTATTCTCGTGTGACAAGAAAGTTTTTGCTTATGCCTGAAAATTATAGAATATACTTGATATTATTCCTAATTTAACACGTTGATGTCATATCGAAAATATTTCACACGTGGGGATCGCGGCTAAAAATTGTCAATGGTATGGGATAAAAAAAATAGAAAAATATATTAATTTAAAAGAATGTCATGTCGAATTTACTGATTATGAGTCTGATGATTAGCGAATGGACTACTGAACGTAATTTTAATATAAACCATTTCCATCTGTCTAGTGCTAGTGTATAATCGGTCCGGGTCACACATATCGTGTGCCACCGGTAGGCATGCGAACATGCACGTGTTAAAATGAATCACAATGAAGTATCAATTAGCAAAGCCATTAAAGCAAAATCACTTACATTTACACGACTATTATACTTTTTGATAAATCGAAAGATTTAACTATTTTTTCTCCTTTTCGTCATTGTTTTCCTTTGCGGCCAGTTTAACAAACGATGCCAGTTTGTTACGATTGTTTGGTCTGTTAACGGAATGGGGCGGATCCTCCATAGAAGAACCTGCAACGGCAATCGTTAATTGCATTGGTAATTTAAGGTAAAAAATGCATGTTTTTCTTAAATAAATAATGAAATTTTAATTAGACACTATATGATTTATATTTGTTCATCTATGATAATAAGATAGAATTTGCTAAAGTTTTTCATAGCCGTATTATTAAAACATGGTCAGAACACTCAACTTGTTAAAAGATTATTACAATATATTACGTTACAATTATTACAATATATACGTTAAGTTTATTAAAATATTTTGGTCGTACGTACGTTTGTACGTACGTAAACATTTAGTAAGGTTAAGTTTTATGAAATTTATCATTATGTTTCATTATTTTAGTAGAAAAACTGAGATATAATATATTGTTTTTGAAGAGCATTAACTCTAAATCAAGGTGAATTCTGAATTGAAAAGGTATACTGTTAGCTATTTATTAATAATTCGCAGGTAATTAGCGCATCTAAATCCAGTTGTGTTGTCGGGCTGAAACGCACCGGAACGTCGTTCCGGCAAATAAAAATTAAAAGGAATCGCTACATACAGAAAGTGATTTAATAAGTGAATTTTATAAATTATAATGTAACTAATTTTTATTAAACGTTTCTATTATTGTAATAAACATACATGTTTGTGCACAAAATGGGTTTTGTAATGATTTTTGTTTCTTACATTTTCGAACGGAACCGGCATAAACATGAGAACCGTTTTTTTAATTTTAGCGTTCCTGTAAAAAAATATTAGCTCAACACTATACTGTCTAAATTTATAGATTTGCATACAAAATATTGAAGTTGGCCAATAGAAAATGTTTGCTTCGTGCTGTATTAGTCGATAAAATATATCTATTGAGTAATTTTTATTAAATCTATCAATAATAAAATATCTGCATCATTCTAAGCAATCGAATATTTATTTGAGGAAAAAATTGCAATATTTTAGTTATTGCCCGCGCAATAACTTTGTTGTTAATAATTTTCAGAAGCAGATTTGTTATAAACTTTTCATAGAGTAAGTTATAATAATCGCAAAAAATCTAAAATTAAAAATTTTGCATATCTTTACGTTCCATAGGTTTCTGAACATTTTGGCATACCTTACATACGTTCTCTCAAAAAGCAGGTACAGCCGTTTCGGTGATACGGAACAAAGAGTGTTTGAGTTTTTGAGAGAACGGAGCATCAGATTTAAATGATTCATTTGCAACAATTTCACTTGTATGATGGAATGAAGAATTTTGGGAAGACATGACCAGCGGATTTGAGGATCCAGAGAAAAGTTAAAAAAATGCCATTTGGCAAACAAAAATAATCATTAGATAAATGCAATAGAAAATTTAATAATAAGTACAATATTTATTTCCATTTCCATGGGTTCCGTATCAAGAATTATAATGTTTAAATTCTACTCATACAGTTCAAATAAATGTTTTCGATATTTTCAACCGACATGAATGGGATTTAAAATGTCCAAGAAATTCCAGAATTTTCAAAATTTTCAAAAAAATCTAATTTTTCAAAAAAGACTATTTTTTCAAAAAGTTCAAATTTCTCAGGAATTTTTTTAATTCTTCAGTTAAAAAAAAATAAAAACGGTGCGGAAAGTTCCAGCAATGTGCCTTAAGGCACGATGCCATGCACCACTAGTTAACTTATCGTAAGGTAAGATATAATAATCGCAAAAAACTCGAAAATATTTTTTTTATATACCCTTATGTTTCAAAGGTTTCTGAACATTTTGGCATACCTTAGAAAAATTGGACTTGTGTGTGTTCGGATACAAATTTTCGTCGACGATTTTGGGAATACGGATCAACAGATTTGAATTATTTAACTAGCTGTAAGTGGAATTCTGTCTTAAGGCAATTAGGGCATCGTGCCTTAAGGCAAATTGCTGGAACTTCCCGTACCCAAAATTATTATTTTTTTTAAAAACGATTAACATTTTTGAAAAAAAAATTACTTCGAAAAAATTAAATTTTTGAAAAACTATAAATTTGATAAAAAATTACCATATTTTGAAAAAAAAAAATTTATTTGAAAAAAAAATTTTTTTTTGAAAGAAAAAAATTTTTTTTGAAAACAAAAAATTTTTTTGAAAAGAAAAATGTTTTCTTCATTTTGACATATTTTGGAAATTCTGAACTTTTTTTCAATGCAATCGTACTGCTTGAACTGCATAGAGACGAATTGTCACAGCGCAAGTGGCGCGCCGCCGCCTAACGCATAAGCATTGGTACGGAACCCATAGGAATGTTAACAAAATGTATACTTATTGTTGAAATTTCTATAAAATATCTAATAATTTGATGTGCATATGTCTAATGATCATTTTTGACCGCCAAATGGCTCATTTTTTTACTTTTTTCGTTAGATCTCCGAAACCGCTAGACCTGCCTTCATGAAAATTTGAACAATTCTTCATCTTGTCAATACAAGTAAAATGTTTTTTGAATTATTCAAATCGGACGCTCCGTTCTCTTAAAAACGGATGTACCGTTTCTGGCACTTTTTGCCCCGTATCTTTGGAACGGCTAGACCTGCCTTCGCCAAAAACTAATCAGCACGTCTCCTTATCAATACGAATCGAATGTTTTTTGAATTATTCAAATCGGTTGATCCGTGTTCCCGAAATCGTCGACGAAAATTTGTATCCGCACATACATACACACACGTACATACATACACACACACACACACACATACATCCATTTTTTCTAAGGTATGCCAAAAT